TACTGCTGTATGAGCTGTTTAATGGCTGCTGGGAGAGACGAGTGTTTTGCCATTGGCTTATACAAGAAAACACTTGCTGCATTCTTTTTTGTTGTGCAGGAGGCACCACTTCTGCTTTTCAAAGATGTACGGTTGTATAATTGCGCATCTATTGCAGCTATTTTCATATGCGAGTGTAAACGTTGACTTTGGCCTGTGGGGCGTGGCCAGCAGCAGCTTATTCAGATTTAAAGCGACAGGACACCCAAAAGAGCTCATTCTGAAAGAAGCTCGAAGTAGGCAGAACTAAGCAGACTAAAATCTTATTATGTGACATTGATTTTGTGCAAAAAGAATATGTTATGAATTTTTGTATGACCCACAGACCTATCCTTACCTGCATAATAGGTCACCTTTAAGATACTGCAGCCTGTCATCTCAAACCAATCTGCCCGTTCTGCCTCCGATATCAAAACATTTCCATCCATACAGCTGCCACTCACTGAATGCTTGCTCTCTTTTTTTGTGCCTGATATTTGAAGGTGAGTGTGTATACGGGTGAAACCACATTTTACCATTCAACCTCTCCCGTTTTAGCAACAGGATGTGATAAACAATTCACAGTTTTAGTAGAATTTACACCAATTACTTGATGTTTAGCATTTTGCGCCTCGCTTTGACAAACTGGTGTATTTTCATAACGCTCTGCATGACTGACGCTTCAGCACTCATAAAACATGACTCATAATATTTATGATGGCTGCAGCCAGACGATTTACGTTTGCAATAAACGTGGCCGGTGCTCTTCAGCGCCGTGTTGGCTTAGGAGAAAATAAAACTTGCATTAGTCTGAGATTTGTGCTATTGAGGTCACTATAATGCTGCTTCTTTTTTTTTCTGTTACGTTTTAGGTACTCCTGTAAGCAGTGCACAGATTCCTACCCAAACAGCAGAACGGCGCCTAAAACCCACACTCGCTCTCGCAGCTACACTCGCTCTCTGACCAGCTCACAGGTGACGAACTCCATCATCCTGGCGTTTCATTTATTCTGGAATATTCCAATGTATACGGAATACCTTTGAACTTTTTCCACATTTGTTTAGGTTGCAGCATCAAACTTAAATATCTTTCAGGTTTTTTTTTTTCTGCATTGCCCTGTGTTTGGCTCCATCTGCTATGAGCAGCTTTCCTGTCCTTGCTGAAGAGAAGCATCATTACTTTTCCTCCTGACACAATGTTTTGCTTGAAGGCTAAACTGCTCAGTTTTGGTCTCGTCTCACCGGTTCTACTACGTTTCCTGTGTCCCCTCCACGGCTTGCTTCAAACTGCAGACAGGACTTCTCGGGCCTTCCTTTCTTTTCCACTCTCAAGACTTGTTGAGTGCTTGACTAATAATTATCCCACTCAATTATTAGCGGTTTTAAGAAATGTTCCTTAAGAGGCTCAAACAACTGTAATTACGCTGAAATGCAGGCAGGTTGTTCGTATTGGATGGTGTGAGAATAAATGGGCAGGATGCAAATGCAAACCGCAGATTTTAGGTTTTTGTTCTAAAAAAACAAACAAAAAAAAAAAAACAATTGAACTCAATTTGTCAGTTTCAAGAATACCCAACCCTTTTTTTGTTCATTTCTCACACAGTTATCATTATTTATTTATTTTCTTACATAAGCTGGGAGACACGTTGAACCATCAGTTCGAGACGGTGTGCGAAACCATGTTCGGCGAGGTGGAGTCGCAGGCCGTCGAGGCCCTGGATCTCCCCGGCGTGTTCCGGACCCGCAGCCACAGCTACGTGCGCGCCATCCAGGCGGGCTGCTCCCAGGATGACGACTGCCTCTCCGTCTTCTCCATGTCTGGCCCCCAGGGGAGCATCAAGGGCGGGGCCGGTGAGTGGACTTAGCGGCGTGTGCATCCGTTTTCTTTTTTTTTTTTTTTCATTTTCAGCCTCCTGACTTCTCCGTTCTCTCTGCCTCTAATTCAGCCTTCTCTCTCCCTCTGTGTGTCTGTGTGTACGTTTGCAAGCTATAGGCACAGACTTGCATGTGCCTTATTGCTCATGCTCTTTCTTCTCTCCTACACCTCTCTGCTCCCGTCTCACCCATCGCACTCCCTTGTGTGACTGCAGGTTTCTCGCGGTTATTACCGTTGCTGTTGCTTCAGTCTCTATCTCTTTCTTGTCTTCCTTCGACAAGACAAGAAGACGAGATCTTATCATCTTCAATCCTTTCACTCAACACAAAAGTCCACATGTGCGCTGCCGTTACTTCATTAGTCAAGTTTATTTGCGCAGAGCGTTTCAGCAACAAGGCAGTTGGAAGTGCTTTTGCATCATGAAAAGTCACCCATTATGAAACAAGTCATAAACATTACATTTTGTCAAATGCCATCATCAAAATCAAGCGAAAACACATCAGATATGTTAATCAGTGTTCAAGCTATTATTAATCAAAGGCAGCTCGAAACACGGCGGCTGGGTTTTTAGCCTCGATTTCAAGGAAGACGGAGTTTCGGCTGTTTTTTGTGGTTTTCTGGAAGTTTGTGATTTGTGACGCATAGAAACTGAATTATTACATTTTGCCACATAACCACCACCGACTTCAAGGTTACTACTCTGTCATAGGGACAATAAAAAGTAGTGCATAATTGTAAGGTGAAGAAAAAAATAACATACATCTTTCCTTTTTTTAAATCACAATAGAATCATTGTTCCGACCCTTTGCTTCCCCTATGCACTCACAGAGCAAATTAAAGTTTACATTTAAGACTTGATTTTCTCACCAAGTTCTATTCAGTGTGTCATCTGAAAATGCAAAGAGTAAAATATTGCTACAACAGCAAACCTACCAAGATGTGGTCTTTCTACTGAAGTAAGGCAAGGAGCTCCATGGTAACTGGAGGAACTTCTGATATCCATAATTAAGGTGAACCTGTTGACAGGAAAACTACTAGTTATGTACAAGTGAATATTTTTGCTTAAAAACAAAGTTCAAACCTCGATAAAGTTAAAATTATGTACCAAGGTTTGTGTTCACAGCTCATTTAGCTTGAGCTATGTGCGCAGAAGAGTTTCAGTTCTAAATGTACCTTCCCAAAGACATGCACCTCTAAGTACCTGTTGCACTTTTTTTTAGACTTTTATTCATAACACTTTTGAATTATTATTATTTCCCTTCCACTTCAGTTTGGCGCTGCATTGTGTTCGTCCCTTAAAATCTCAAGGAAATACGCTAAAGTTCGTGGTTGTGATGTGACAAAATGGAGAGGGGGAGTTGAAGGCCCTGTTTATGCATGCATCACACAGGTAATTGCTGATTTTTGTCAGCTGCGTGTGTTCGCTAATGTTTGTTTGCTCATCGGAGACGTTTTAGACCCTCGCAGGATTCAAATTTACCCAGCTTCCAGCAAGTCCCACGAGATTTATTAAAAGCGCTGCGAAGCATCATCCGCATCGAGTGTGAAACGCTCATGCGCTGTACGTATACCTCCAGAGCGCAGACACGCGCGCGCACCCAGGGCAGGGCTGAGCTTCAGCTGGTATCTTTTACACTGTGGAAAAAAAACAAGCTGCACACACAGATGCGAAGGGTGATGAAGAAAGGGAAGCGGTATGGATTGCTTTTGGTATCCGTCAGGCAATTGCTTTAACTTTTAGAAGAAAAATTTGCCCAGGGGAAGAGGTTTTCTGTTGTCACCTTTGCTATATCTGACATATCCACCGCTTTGCTCTCTGCCTTTTGCTAAAAAGTGTATTTTTCATGAAAAGGAATACTAGCCAAGCTGTTGAATGAAGAAATAGACTCCAGCATTGTCTTTTTTTAATGCTCTCCGTGTTCTCTCTTCTCTCTTTTGTCGATTCACGTCAAAATTCCTCCTTTTTTTCCCCACTTTAACATTCCTCTTCTCCCCTCTAGTCTGTCCCTTCTGTAAGTATCCGCCGGCTCTTTTCCCTTTTCACATCGTTTACTTTAACCTCAAACACCTCTGTCTTCTTCTCCCTCGCTCTTCTTACACTTCAGTCTTTCCTTATCGTAAAGGTGCTCCCCCACCGCTCCCACCTCGCATGTCCAAGTCTTCTCTCTCGGTGCGCGCCCAGAGCAGCACTGAGTCCACCCAGGACGCCTACTTCCAGAGCGGCGGACAAATGGCTCCGGGCACCGGGCGCCCCAAGCAGCACAGCAACTCCATAGACCTCGGTGGCTCCGAGGGGCCGTCGGGTCGCGCCTCCAGGGGGGGCTACTACACGTCCGGTGGGCCCGGGCGCTCCCGTCAGCACAGCAACTCGGCGGAGAGCCTGGACGGGGTCAGGGGTTCCAGGGAGCTCGTGCCCTACGGAGGGGGGCCCGGTGTGGGAGTCAGGGCAAAGCACAGCTGCTCAGCCGACAGCCTGCTGGAGGGGCCGCCACGGCCGGCGAGGGACCGGGACGGCCGGGTCGGCGGCGGCAGCCTGGGGAAGTCGTCCTCACTTCCTCAGAACAACATGATAGTGAGTAAGATGGGCGGGCAGGACGACGGGCGCGCGGCCAGGAAGTGGAGGCCGTCCATCGCCGTGCAGGTGGGAACGAGGAAATGTGAAACACAGAAAAATATCTTTAAATGATTTTTTTTTTGTTTGTTTTTATGTTTTTGGTCACAGTTGACAAAACTTATCAAAGAAAACATCAGTTTAAAAAAAAATGCAATTTTCAAATGGTGACTCAATTTGTGTTTTTTTTTTTCATTCCTTAAAGTAGGGGAATGTCACTCTTATTTTTTAAAAATGTATTAAAACTGTCAGCATGTCGTGACAATATGAGTGATGTGAAAATATCAATCTTCACCTCCTCCATGAACTGCTGAAGAAATTCCCTCCTCCACCAAAAACAACCAATCAGAGCCAGGAGGAGGGTCTTAGCGCTGTCAATCGGGCTCATGTACGCTGCTCAATGTGCAAATGGTAGAAAAACAACTTACCATCTCAGAAAAACCATTTATCCGCCGTCATCAGTGGCCATGCTTGCTAGTCTTAGCATTCGTTGCAGGCTAAGTTGTGTTGAACCAGCTTTAGCATAGCAGAAGGATGTGAGCTGATTGACGGAGGAAGACCCTCCTCCTTTCTTCTCCTGTTTCTCCTGTTTCTGACAGAGCTGTGTATTTGTGGAAATAACAGCTGATCCATAGCGAGAAGGCAGAGGAGCTTGTTTATTTTTTTCACAAATTATCTTTCCCATATTGTACTGTCAGGACAGTTTTAGCAAATATGTTAAAAAAAGAGAAGCAAACTGTAGTTCCACATGATCAACATTGCCTATTTTACTATGTTCTAATGATATAGCTTTTATGCTAATATCCCAACATTAAATCTGATCTATTATACCAGTAGTAGTGAACCTAAATGTATAAATTACTGTTTGTGGAGTTGAATGCTTAGATAATCTGATAGACTTTGTGTGTGTGGCAGATTTCCAAAAATTGTATCTTATTTTTTATTTATTTAAGTCATTTTTAACTTTTCCTTACACGATTAAAAAAAAACCCACAATGCTGAAAAAGCAAAACGAAATGAAAAAAATCAAAAGAAGAAAAATAGAAGACAAAACTATTACAGAAATAGACAAACATTACTTAAATTCTTGTCGATGGCAAGAACACAAAGTGTAGACCGAAAAAAGTGTAGGTGTAATTTTTTTGTACATTTACTGCATTGTCAAAATCAAAGCTGCAGAACCTTTTCTAAAACACACCTCCAAGGAATTCCAGCCGAGTCTGGAATGGAAACGGAAAATATCCGAGCCAAAACTTCAGTTTTTTTTGTCAGATCACACATTTGTTCTCTGACAGCAAACACATTCGAAACACGAGCCAGCAAGTTCCTCATACAGCCGATATAAATCTATTTCCACAAGATTAACCCATAGCAGCTGTAGCTTCTTGTTTTGTTTTTCTTTACATTTATTTCTGTGATAAAATTCCCTCTGTCCCAAAAAGATATTGAACTTTTCCTTTACTTCTAGCCGCTCATGTTCTGTGCTTGTGGTTTGCTGTTGCAGGTGGACAGCTCGGAGACTCTGTCCGATTCCGACACGGAGGGAAAAGCTCTCACCGAGGTTCACTCCATAGGAGTCCAAGTGGAAGACGAGAAAAGGTAAAAAAAAAAAAAAAAAAAAAACACAGAAACAAAGCAGCAAAAAAAAAAATATTATTCATCTGCAGAACTTTCTCTCCCAGCTTGACTTGTTTTGGTGACATTTAAGTTTCTGTCATCACGGATGCTCAAACTCAGAGTGCGGGTTCGAGGGGTGTTTGTTTACCCGCTAATTTATCTTTGTTCCAAAATATGCGGCTTGATCAGGAGCGGCTGGTCTTTGTGCTGTAATTTATGTGAATAATTCTGATTTATATTCAGAAAAAGCACTCGTCTTCCTGCGCGCCCAACAGCGTCGCCATGTGTACGGCTGATTTCCCGTCTATGTCCAATTAATTCATTTAAGATTTCATCAAGCAGCACAGCTTGAACTCGGAAACACTTTGTTCCAAGAATGTCTCTTTTATTTTTTTTCTTCTTCTTTATTTTTTTATTTTAACCATGTTTGTAACCCCGTCTACTGCAATCCGTAAACACAACATGGCTTTCACACATGACTCGGCGCTCTTCCTAATTATATCCATTCTCGCGTTTGAACGCAATCGCCGAAGATGACATCAGGACATCCGGCGCTGCGGATCTGAGTCACGCTGCGGACCCGAACAGACTGAGGAGACAGATGAGGGGAAGTTTGGGTTTAAAGTTGCAACAGTGTAAACACTCATCAGTGAGCACACTGGCATGACATTTGCACGCACCGATGCGTCATATGCCAGGGGATTTAGCAGGACTCATCACAACCAGGCGAGTGGCGGTGATTGCCGTGACAACACGGCCCTGCTCGGTTTGCAAGGTGAAACGAAAAGAAGGTCGAAAGGAAAAAAATAAATACATAAGAAAATTGAGAAAGCCTTCTGCAGGCAATTCAGTTTGTTCAGATGGCTCTGAGCCCGCTGTGACTCCTTGTGTCTTTTTGCAAGGCGGGCTCGATTCAAACGCTCCAACAGTGTGACGGCGAGCGTGCAGGCCGACCTGGACCCCGAGGGCTTCCCGGGGCTTAGCGTTGCTGTGCCAACACAGGACAAGAGTCTGCAGTTTGGCTGCTCCTTCCAGAGGCACTCGTCAGAGCCAGAGTCCGCGTCGCAGTACGCAGAGTGCCACCGCACCGTCCACACGCAGGGCCAGTGGGCTTACAGAGAGGTGGGTCCCTGCCAGAGGTCTTCCTCATGAAAGATGCAGACTTTACTTTGAATGGTTCTTGCTAAAGAATACTACGAAAGAGGATTAGGGAAACTGGGGGGAATAAAGGAAATGAATTCTGACTTTAATCTTCTGAGATACTATGCCAGAATTCTGAGAAAAGAAAATCTGCAAAAATGTCACAATTCTGAGAAAATATGTCATAATTCTGAGGTTAAAGCCCAAATTCTGAGGCATAGAAGTCAGAAATGTGATATTAAAGTCAAAATTAAAAAAAAAAATTGGCTTTAATCTGAGGGGGGAAAATGTCAGAATTCTGAGAAAAAAAATTCTGTAAAAGATAATAATTCTTAGATTAATGTCTGAATATTTTATTCAGTGGCCCTAATCCTCTTCTGCAGAATATTGAAGTTACACACAGATATGATCACTCTCTGCATTTTAAGCTGTAATGTAACCTAGATTCCCTCTATGAAAATTGTAAAATTGTTTTCCATAAATCTAATCTTTGGCTCCTCAGCTGCACAACGTCGATGTAGATTGGCAGATTTTATTGTACAACACGGTTGGTAATCCAAATTACCAACCGTGTTAGCATCTGTTCATCGCCTTGTCGTCTATTTCTTTTTAATGCGCTCGATTTGGAGTTGTAGGCCTTCCAGGAGGTACAGGGTTATGTTTTTGAACTCAGAGTGTCATTTCTAAAAGTAATGCATCCCTTCTGCTTCACACAGGACCTCATTCAGGGCAACTACACCACCGAAGCTTGCCAAGTGGACACAAGGCCCCACCAGCACCCACACCTGCCGCCGCGCTCCCACTCCCCCCTGCCCATTACCGCGGAGCGCGCCTGGACGGCCACACCGTCCCTGGAAGGCCCGCGCAGCCTCCCCGACTCGGGCCGGGCCTCGCCCTGCATGAGGGACGGAGAGTTCTTCCTGCGCCTGCTGCAGACGGAGGTGGAGAGGATGGAGGGCTGGTGTCAGAACATGGAGAGGGAGGCGGAGGAGAATGAGCTTCCAGAGGACGGTGAGTTCAAAAGCTATTTCTCATTTTGTTGCTGCTGTTTTTATTGAACTGCATTTCCACTCTCTCTCTCTCTCTCTCTCTCTCTCTCAGCTCTTGAGCTAATTCGAAGCGCAGTTGGCAGTGCACAGATGCTCATGTCTCAAAAGGTCCAGCAGTTCTTCCGCCTCTGTCAGCAAAGTATTGTAAGTGTGCATGAAAAGTCACATCAACACACATTTCCATATAAGCGTGTTACTATGCATGTTGGATATCCAACATGCATAGTAACATAGTAACACATGCAGCTTTCCTCGCACATTTCTGTATCAGGAAAGTAAGCATTCATAACTGTTCAACTTTTTCATGCTCTGTTACTTTATAGTGCAAACTTCAATGTTTTGAGGGATTTTATTTGATAGACCAGCAATACAGTAGTGCATAATTGTAAAATTGAGGAAAAGAGATATTGAATTTCTCAACAGATTATTTGAGCACACCATTGGTGCCCCCAAGAGGAGGGTTGTGGGGGGCCATTGCCCCATTGAAAAATGTTGTCCCACCCACTGGCAGCCCCAGAGAATCATGTTCAATTCATCTTCTTCAATCAAGACATGAAAGTAAAACCCAGCAAATACATAAAATTAAATTTTAAAAAATACTTAAATGATCCCAAAGGGAAATTACATGTTGCTGTAACTCATTAAATCAGAATTCTTCAGAGTTATTGTAGGAAAAATTTCCTGTCGAATACAAAAGCACACTTCACCTTTTTATATACATTCTATACGTTACTATGTATGTAGTTTTTTTTTTGTTTGTTTTTTTTTTTTGTTGTTTTTTTAAGTTGTGCCACTTAGATTTTTTGTCTAGCCTGGTTTGGCCACTGCTATTAAGATTTTCTGGGGGCTCCACTAGCACACCTCATAAATCTGACCTTTATAGAACAGCGAGAGGAAAACCATTGTCGTTAGATGTCCAGTTTGCAGTTTCGAAGGAGTTCTAGTTGTATGACATTAACATTTTTGACTATTGTCTAACATTGTGCATTACCCTAAAACAATATCCTCATATCAGTGGCTAAATAATGCTGTGAAGATGCTTTTAGTCAGAAGGACACAGAAGTCAGCCAGAAGTGAGAGAAGATGAATGGTGCTAACTCAAGGGCAATACTGAGAGAAACCCTGTTAGTGGTTACCTTTGCATATTCTTCTGTCAGAATGGTCCAGTCAATGTTCAAATTGAAATCTATGAGAAACTTGATGTGCATAGATCCTCTTAATCCAATCTGGTTGGGTTTGAACTATTTTACAAATAATTGGCAAAAACATTCAGTCTGTAGAATCTGATTCCTGAGAGAAAGAGTTCTAAAACTTGCAGCTGTGATTGTGGTGATTGGTGGAGCTGCACCAAAGAATTGACACAGGAAGCCAGGATGCAAAAGCATGTAATAATTTTCAGATTGTTTAGCCAAACATTCTCTCAACTTTCTATGCCCAGGACCCATCCGCCTACCCCCAGCCCACGTCGCAGGACCTGGCGTCCTTCTGGGACCTGCTCCAGCTCAACATAGAGGACGTAAGGGTTAGGTTTCAGGACCTCCAGAAGCTCAAGGACTCTGGGTGGAGGCTCCCACCTGACAAGAAGGTGAGGGACCGGAGGGTCCGGCCTACCCTGGTTTCCCTTCAGCATTCTCCCCGAGCCAAGATGGCTCTGTGCCGCCGAGTAGAGCAGATGGCCGTGGCCTCCAAATGTTTGCGGGCCGTGAACGCTCAGAACAGACCAAGAGGAGCCAAGCAGATCTGCCCGCGAGGCACCGGAAGTTCAAATTGATAGGGTTTTATTTTGCATTTACTTTTAATTTATGTATATTTAAGTTTTTATCTTACTTTTCTTGCACTCTGTCAAGAAAAAGACAGCTTTTAACATTATTTTCTATCAAACCTCTCCAAAACTAACTCTCTTTTCTTCTTTTTTTCACTTTTCCCTTGTACCTCTCCTTCCATTTCCTTTCATACAACTCAACACTGATGCATGCTGCGATACCTTTTTGGGGCTTTTTTTCTTTCTCATAATGCGTTTGATTACTTTTTATTTATTTTTCCCTCTGTTGTGGGTTTTGTCTCTTATTGCATGGGTTTTCCGTCACAAACCCCCCTTCTTTTCCACCACCTAACATGACAAATCCACTGTCCTTTTCCCGCATCTCATGTCAATGTCTCATCCTCAACGGGTCAGGAGGATAAGAAACTTCCTCCGCCCCTACCAAAGAAGCCGGCGGGCGGGGTGAGCGGCAGCCTCCGGGCCGATAGCGTGGGAGACGGGGTCTCCGGGAGCGCTGGAGGCGGCCCGGGGGGGCTGGTGGTGCCCCGCGTTGGAGGGCACACCCTCCCCATCAGGGAGAAGTCCCTGGACCTTGGAGACCGTCAGAGGACAGAGGCACGAAGGAGGCTGCTGCAGACCAAGCGTACCGCCTCCTTCAGGCAGAACTCGGCCACCGAGAGCGCCGACAGTATCGAGATCTACATCCCCGAAGCCCAGACTCGACTCTGAACCCGTGACAGCACTCGCTTCCCCCCCCTCACCCGATCTTCTGCGAGTCATTGCTGTTTATACGCTATGACCCATCGCCAATTTTAGCACTTTCCATCAACTTCTGTCATCCTACATTATTACCTAACAAGCAATGACAGCCATTTTAGTGTCTTGAAATTCAAACCACTTTACCGAGGCAGAGGCCTAGAGCCTGAGCGGTATCTAGCCGAAGACGTTTTTACTTCCTTCTTAGACAGAATTTCTTTTTAAATATATATATACATACATATATAAATATATATAATCACTGGCTGAAACCAAGTCAGAAATCTTTTGTAAAACTAGGCAGCAGAGGTTCACGCAGTAGCATGCCTGTGCGTGTTCACTTGGCACAAAAAAGGGCTTAACAGGCAGTAGACCTCTGAGGAAATTCTCCCCACACCTCCCACCCCTGATGCCGTTCGGAGCGAAACCGACTTACGGGCCACTTACGGGCTTTCGCCGATAACAGCTCAGCCGAGTCGAGATCTATTGATTTCTTGAGCATCCTCAGTTGGCTCCAAGAGCATCCCTGAGGAAATATCAAACACAGAATCCTTAGTCCCTCTTCCCGTCTGTCCACACAAGCACCAAGTCACAGAATATGGACCAATTTCACGTCTCACTCTGTTGATGCTTTCGAACCACCTGTCCATCAGCATCGGACGGCGAGGCTCTCCTATAGTTGTGTTTGCCAAAAGGAGCTTCTTCAGTGTAGCATCACAGACAAAAAGAAAAAAATCAAACTCCTTGTGCAGTCTCTGAAGTCTCAAGAAGAGGAGGGTTTGGGAGAGTTTTTACATGGAATTATTTCAGTGGCTTTTCTGGACTTACTTGAAGATGCTCCCCCTTCTTTTTTTTTTACACTGTGAGAGTAGAGCACCACCAAGTGGTCAAAAGAGAATCCTGCTTCAACAGCAGTGGTCTTTACAGTTTCAATATATCTTATTCAGGAACAAGTAAACACCCCTTAATGAAACAGCCATTGAAGTGGTCGGGACTGCTATCTTCCCCTCTGAAACCCTTTCTTTCTTTTGAATATTGCTTGGACAGACTTTACTATCGTGTTTATTTGTAACTAAATATGGGTTTTTAAGTAAAAGAAGAGCAGCAGCTTGAATTTTCTGCAGGATTTTATCACCCAACGTTATTTTGTTTCCCTGACGGCGTTGACGAAATGAGGAATGATTTCGTTTTGCTGGCAGATAAAATGAGGCCTAACTGACCTTAAAATATCCTTCCAAAGAATCACCAAGTCGAATCAGATTGGGATTATCTCCAAAAAAAAAAAGTGGTATTTTATAGCTATGCTGGGAATGTGAAATATGTGATATGCGTGGAGCTACGGTGCCTTGCAAACATTCATATCTGGTGAACTTCTTCACCTTCTTTTCAAGTTACAACCATAAACTTCAGTGATGGACATCAAACCAGCATCCCTCAGCATCCTGCTCGAGTGACGTGTTTTCCATCACAGGGTGTTTTGTTTGTAGGGACTATTTTCAGTGTTGTTATCATCTGGTCTGAAGTGAACAGCAAGCAGGACTTCTTGTTTTTATTTCAGACGCTTCTATAAAAGTTGAATCTTCTATTTTTGGTGTCAATTTCTTCCACTTTCTCAGTTGCTGTTCTGCATCCTCTAAAGCTGCCATGAGCCTCTTGGCTGCGTCTCGGATTAATGTTTTGCTTTTTTTTCATTTATTATGTGAAAACTTAATAAATGTGAAAACTGTTGCATAAAAACCCCAAAGTACAGAAATTCACTGAGGTTTGTGGTTGTAACATGACAAAATGTGGAAAAGTTAGAGAAGCATGAATGGTTTTGCAAGGCTTTGTATGTTGTTTTTTATTTTTTTTTATTAATTTACCTCCTGAAACAGGTCTAAATTATTTCACAAAGTTAACTTTTTTTGAAGGATTCTTATCAAAAATGCGTTGGTGTTTTCTACGACTGTTGGCTCATAACGTGAACGCACTTGAGTAACTTAATATGAAAGTCTGTGTGAATCCCAGTTAACACTAAAGAGTCAAAATGTATGGAGTAGAGAGATGACAAAATGTCAGAATTTGTAAGCATGAAGTGTTCTTTCTTTCCTTTAATTTTGGTTGGGATACGTTGGAAATATGGGATATTTTATTGGAAAATGTATATTTTATAATATAAACTACATTTCTAGATTAGTAGAGATTATCGAGAACAGTACATGTACAAAGATCATATATCAAATGTGAAACACTGCAGTATTGTTACGATAGATCATAGCTGTGTGGCATATCCAGACTGAGTCCATGTGAAGAAGACTTTCAAACGGCTCTTATTATCTTGAAATTGTGAGTCAGGTTCACAGGGTATCTCTGGCAAGAAAGGTGGTTGCCAAGGACGATCCTTCCTTAGGCCTATTTAAATATCTGTGTGTGGTTCTCACAACTTGTACTGCTGTTCCCCTTTCCTCCCTGTATCTCCTGTTTAGAACCAACTACATGTGCCTAACCAGCTATGTGTGGAGGTTTCCTTTGAACACAGTTTACACTTTGAATATATACATAAATATATAGAGAGAGAGATAAAGAGAGAGAGAGAGGGAGATGTATATAGAAATGTATGAAATTTGAAGAGTATTGTTGGAAAAAAAATTTTTTGACTTCCTGAATCTCCCTCATGTTGCAATACACACCTGTGAGACTGGCACACTTTGTCGATATGGAACACTGCATGCTTTCTGACGGCCTCCTCTGAACAATTTAGCAGAGTCTCATTTTGGAGAAGAAACACGTATTTTGTAGCCTTTAAATCTTTTTCTTCTGTGTGATTGGGGGAGGGGTGAAAAAAGTAATTGCTAGGGTTTTACAACGCAGTTATTCCGACGAATCACACGTTTGTACAATTCTGACCTTTTAGAGACAATGATACAGACATCCTTGGAAATGCCAACCAGTGTTTTGCTTTTTGGACTTCAGCAGGTGAATCTTAACAACCTCCTTGTACAAACGAGGTGCCCCGGCATTGAAAACAACGAGGGCCGTCGTGTGGAATGCGTCCGCAGCAACGCGAGTTGCGGAGCCGCCTTCTCTCTATTTTTTTTTTTGCGTCCCTCTCTGCGTCCGATACCGCTAAAACCTGATGACATCCGTGCGGTGCCCGCCGCAGGCCCTCGTCAAACGAAGCACAAAGAACTGCTCTACTACTGTTACGCCACTGTGACGGACTCTTGACCCCACCCTCACTATCCTCAGTCCTACATGCGAGGGGGGTGGCAAAGTCTCTGGATCACACAAGTTGCCCTTGAGGGACACCAGGATTTAAAGAGGCTTTTGTTGGATTTTTATCCACAGTAGCAACCACGACTACTTTCATTCGTGCCGACTTTCTTCTCTCTGAGTTCTACAAGTTGAGGTGTCAACCAGCCGCACCTTGCCTTGAAATAGGTCCATAGCAAACACAGTTTTTGTGGTTGTGATTTCCGTTTTATTTATTTGTTTATTTATTTATTTATTTATTTTTTGTTCTATATAATCTATCTATCACATCAGCATCGTACAAATCACAGTTCCTGGTTGTGTTGTAACATTATCTCAGCACTGACAAAACACAGCAATCAAGCTATCTTAAGCCTTTCTTCCCACATGGCCAGACAAAATCTGAGTACCTCAGTTTTTAGCAAGTGTCCCTCTGTCCTCAGGGGATTTCCTAAACCCACCCTAAGACCCTAATAATACGAGGCTACGTTAATCCTCGCAGGAGTGTTTTGCTGATATTCTCAGATCGAGACGGGGAGAAGGAAGAAAAAATCTCTCGCTGCTCGAGCCCAGATTCACTGTTAGCCATTTATTTCCCCAAGACTAGGAAACAGCGTGAGTCAGTGTGGTGGCAGAGGCAGCAGCTTAATTGTAGCCGATTTGTGTGTGTGCTGCATACTGTGCTTCTGGAACAAAGCCAAGCTGGAGGCCTGTGGTAGCAGCAGATTTGAGTTTTAGTTGACATTACTGTAAGGCAGAGCTGCTCTGGAGTTTGAAGCTAGCTTATGTCTGTGGTGGGGGGGCTAGCTAGCCCTGGGCGCTAGCTAACCATGTTCATGAACTTCACTGTCAAAAAGAAACCAAACTGATGTGTTGTGGAGATAGTTTTATAAACCAATAGCCTGCTTAGTCTTCAGTCACTGCTTTTAATCAACTGTCAGCAACAGGGAATGTTGTGATAGAAGTTGGTAAAGCTAGTGGCAGCATTGCTTTCAGTGAAACACATAGTACTTCAAAAGTCCCGTTTTTACTCCAAAGTGGAAATATTCAAAATTATTTATATTAAAGACAAATCATCTGGAACACCCAGTCAGATTTGTTAGCTGGAAAGCAGTGAAACTCCTCACCCAGATAAATTTAATATTCAATATGGCTGCCAAGTGTTAAAAAATATGTAATAGTAACGGGCTGTTTCTTTGCTACGATGATTAACAAATCTGTCGTATGGACTTCCCTTAGCGAGAATGTTTCTGAAACCTTTATAAAGCATAATTTATTTGCTATAAAATTAGCTTGGGGAAAAAAAATCAAAAAGCTAGAAGGCTTACAGAAGGTAAAGTTTGATGTAGAAAATGTGTGGCTAAAAATATTGGTTGATATTAGATACATCCAAGGCCTGTATAGATTCTACTTTTAATCAGAGCTATCCTGAATCAAACCTATAACCAACAATTAACTTGTGACAGTTACGTAACCAGCTAATGATTGTATATGGGCAGCTTTTGTAGCCCATTTACTGTCTAAGCGGGACATTATGTAACTGTAGTTTGTGCAGTAGTTACACTGCAAACTTGAAAAGCTTTCTGACTTGCAACTGTAACGTGGTCAACTCTATTGTGAGGTCCTAATCAGATCTACTTTTTACAAAACTTGAAAGCACTTTGCTACGACTAGTGACTAATGCTAACAATTGTATCCTGGAGGGATAACTTAATAAACAACCAGCAGAAAATATGACTGATAATTAACCAAGAATCAATTCAAGTGACAAATTTCCATATCTTCTACAATTTCAGATTTCTCTCATTCATTGATTTTTGCTGGCGCCCATGTGTACAGTCATGGCTGGAAACTTGTTTAATATTCAAATTACATGTGAGGATCCTGAAGGTGCTTATCTACATAAGAAAATTATTCATAATTGCACATAAGTATCATCTTCAGTGACTCCCGCGTGTGCAAGCAGAACTTTGTATTTGGCATGTTATTGGCAGACCACACCATAGGCAGGGAGTTAATTACAGACCGTAAACGCCTTCAGTTGCTATTGCTGAAAATCACTGAGCATAATTAGAATCACTCTGATTTAATAAGAAACTTAATGCTTTAATTCATACTGTGGCCAAACTACTGGTTGGTTTCTTGCCTATGGTTTACTCCGCCCGCCCCCCTTCTCTGTTGCTCCAGAACAGGTCGGACTCGAGCAGATGATCAACTGAAACTCCAATGTGCCTTTAGCACTGAGGTGTAATTCTGTTTGTATGTGTACATGTGTGCATATGTATTAACGCTGTAATGTGGATTTACAGGACACACACAGCTAACCATGAGGGTAAGAGACAACTGAGCGATTACTGTGTAATTATCAACAAAATATATATATCTATACCCTAACTTCGCCATGTTTACAAAGTGTAAATACCTGTTATCAATGGACATTGCTTATCTTAAAATTACATTTATTGTTATTAGAATATAATTAATATGATTACTGTCATTAAAAGTTTTAATTAGTGCCATTACGATCATTATTAAATACAGTGTTGTTGAATATAGCTATGAGTAAAAATTGTTCTGTAGGCTGATCAAGGGCAAGTCACGTGTATAGCAACAAAAATATATAAATATATAGTTTATTCTATGTTCGGTTCAATAAATCGCTGCTATTAAAGGGGATGGAGCAGAAGAAGAGAAAGTTGATTAACTCTGGGAAGACACTACCCCCCCTCCCCCCCTTCTGGGCTCAGTGATGCACACTCCACCAGAGAGGTGAGGAATCGCTGAAGGAAGTGAGCTGTGGGAGTGGACCGTCCTAACAATAGAACCTCTTTCTCTGTGTGCTTTTACTCCACTTCGAACTCTCAGTGCCAGCAAGAGGAGGAAATCAAACGGGGGGCCTCGAACCGATGGAGACACTTCACACTCGTTATTCAACTCTATAATGTAGCAACGGCAACAACAGCCCTTCGTTCTCGACTCCCTCCACGTCTTTCTTGTGTTATCGGTGACCACTATGATTTAGAGCAAGTTTCAGCATGGATTCACTCGTTTTATATATATCATCAACTCTGGGCCAAGACAGCATATTGTACATACAAACGTTCATTTTTGTTTGTTCTTCTATGAGAACAGCTGACTCCAGCAGAGCAATAGAGTCACAACAGAGTGTAAATGTTTGTTACGCCACCAAGTGGTCGTCCACACGTGGTGCACGAGAACACACCAGGAAGTGGTGTCTGAATTCAGTCTGAAGGCCGGTGAAGGCAGTGTAAACCATGCTCCTGTTTTGTTTTTTTTTTTTTTTTTTTTTTATCTTTCCTCCCACCGTTTTGTACATACAAGTTTATTTCTTGCTCTCATGTTTTTATGGATCTAAATGTGTCCAAACCGAAGCACGTTTGATGGCGCTGAACCCGGAGAGATGGCACACTGTGACGTGGTTTACTCCCAACACAGAATGTAACACTTTCAACGTTGTCTGAACATTTTCTAATGGCTAATATTATTACTATCAATATTATTATGATTATTATAAAGCTATTTTAGCGAGTTAAACGAGCGTTGCTGCGTCTCCTTTGTCTTTTTTTGGTGTGTTTACTCTGAATGTTTTGAAGAAAATGTGAAATGAAGCAGTAAAAACATTCTTCTTGGGGGTAAGAGCAATGTTGTTTTGATTGAAGGTATCTTCTCAATTTGAGCTTAATAACATGTTCCTTAATTTTCTGGATTCTAGCCGGCCCCTCCATTGGCTTGTATGTCCATGCTTGATTCAGTTCCAAAAATTTAGTTTATTAACTCAAAGTTACATCTGGCGCCAAAGTGGAGAAGACACATTAGTAAAATGTGAACCTGTGCTTGCATGACCTTCAACCTTTTGGATTTTTATGGGTGTGTGAGTGTGAATATGTTTGTGTGAGTTAGTCACCTGGAATTGAGAAGATGCCACTGTGCCATTCCACCCGAATGATTGTTTCCAGGTTTGGAAAGGTATATTTTTTTAGTCATGGGTTGAAAAATATGGCCACCATTTCTGCAGCATGCAGAACTTTAAGTAGTAAGTCTGATCAATTTCTTTTTAAATAAAACGTGTTGCTAAGTTCTGGGATTGTGTGCAGCAGGATGAAACTGTTTTAAGTAAAGGAATTTCAACAACACAAGAAGTTAAATGGTGTTAAACAGTAAAATGGAGAATTTTGATCTACATTTCTAAGGCTATTTACTGATGGAGCAACTCAAGACTTGAACAAAATAATGCAAAATGTTCAACCTTTAACTCTTACGATGACTGAAAAAGGTGTTGTGGGACATTTAACCTTTTAACTGTTAAATGTCCCACAACATAAAAATGGTAAAGAACTAAATATCCACATTCAGGTCAATATTTAGTAGATGCACATAAGTCTCAAACACACTGGCTCATCTGGACACAGCAGTTGCAACAGAACAGTTTAAGTGCTGTGAGAATGTTTGGGGATTAAGTTTGAGCATCTTTTTACATCCAAATTGTCTTGGATTAGAGTAGAGGGTTTGAACATGCTAGAATCTTCACCTTGTTGGCTTTAAACCATTTATATGCACTTTTTGCTGCAAGCTTTGTGTAGTTATGCTAATCTCCAAAATTGAAGTTCAAATCAGATTTTCTGGACTGGTGCTAAATTTGCGAGAGAGTGTTTATTTTCCACAAAATTGGAAACAATCAGCTGAGAAATATCCACAGGTTGAACAGGAATGCCACTTTTCATTTATGGTAATAAAAATGTTTCAAAAACATTTATTTTTTTAAATAAGACACTGTCATATGTTAACAATAAACAAGTTTTCAGATCAGTAAAGCAATGATCAAAGATGTAAAAAAAAAATTCCCTTAAGCATTGTCCTATTATCCCTCCAAAGTGAAAAATTAAAACATGAATTGAATTTAATATTTAAATTCACCTTTAATATTCACCTTACATGGTGAATATTTTATAACTTCAAATTTCACTGGACATTGTCCAGTTTGAGTGTCCAGGCTTGACCAGGAGTGAAAGGTAGCTCAGGCAAAAGGACAGAGAGACCTGCATTAGGGTAGACCGGTGCCCAAGGGAGGGGGGACGGACGCCCCAAGAGAGTCACCTAGAAAAGAAACGGATTCCTATTTGTTCCTAGTCACTTTTACATTATCGATCATGGGTTTGGTCATGTACTTGTTCCAAAACACATAATCTTAATAATCCCATTTACCTTAGTTGTTGCTGATGTTTGGGGGATCAACAGCTTCAGTATAGTTGTTGGGGGTTTGGCTGTTACAATGGCGTAGACCGTGGCACCTTTTGAGGTATACCTAGAAGAAAAGTAACGTTTAGTTTTTGTTGTTCTTTTTTCACTAAACCAAAACTCATACTGAGTTTCTGGTAGCATGGAAGGAGAAAACACCAAAAATGAAGAACACTCAGATCCTAAATATTCAACTTTCCAGCTTTCTTACCACACTGGCACAGTGCTGTTTTCCATTTGGACCCTCCAGGGTTTGGTGGCGTAGATGGCCTCTCCGTTGGTTTCCAGCCAGGCGCCAAGACCCCTCAGCCTCTCCTCAAACACACTGGGAATTGTCCCGTCGGCTGTGGGACCTACATTGAGAAGATAATTTCCTCCAAGAGCCACTGTGTTGACCAGATCCTGTGAAGAAAACGAGAAGCATTCAGTCCTGAAGATGAAGCGGCTACATCTTAAGCAATCTGAACGTCATCTTGTGTCTTTACGTCAATAATAGCAGGTAAGTCCATCAGTTCTTTGAACTTCATGTTTCGTCGGTAACCCCAGGATAAAGTGTCCACAGATGTACATTTCTCCCACTTGTGTTTGGGCAGCTGGCCTGGCGTGTATTTGTCCTGGCAGTTATAAAAGCCACCATGTTTACAGGCAGTGCCTTGCCCCCATCGGTCATTGGTCACAACAGTATCCTAAAATCAAGGAAGATGGGGTAAATACACTGACGCTGCTATTATAGTTTTGTGCAATGCTTTGTGCATGGCAGTTTGTGTTTCCCTAAAATAAAAAGGACTGACTTTGACAGGGCTGTCGTTGTAAAGCCACGCCAGAAACTGGGTGGAGTTCCAGTAGGTGTCTGGCGCTTCCCAGTCGCCGTCAGACCAAATCACCTCAGGTCTGTACCTGCAAGGTATATAAAACACTATCATGTTGTGCAATAACTGAGAACTAGCTAACTTACCTAAGGCATGGCTGCAGTTTGTGCAACAATAACAGGGAAACTGAAAACAACAAGCGGTGTGATCGGTAACTACTAAAACTTAAAACCTACTAACCTTACAACAATGTTATAGAGTTCAGGAAGTAGTTTCTGCATCACAAACTGTTGGGTTTTGAATCCATTCTTCTTGTCCTCCAAGTAGAGGGGGTTGAACCATTCATACAAGGAGTTGTAGAGGCCATAGTGCAGCGATCTAAGTGTTGAAAACAACAAATCTCTGAAGCTCTTGTTTATTACCTTCTCGTACGAGACATGTTTTCAGTTATAGCTGAAGAGGTTCAGGTGGATTTGTGCTGTGTTTCATATGCCTATTGAACTCATTTACCAGAATCTACAGTTGGATATTATTCTCCAATAAGCTTCAAATTCACCCACCGGTTGCGAACTGCATCTCCCAGGTCTTCCACTAAGTCCCTTTTAGGACCATTATCAACAGAATTCCAGTTCCAGGAGTATGGAGACCCCCAGTTAGTGAATCCTTCATGGTGTTTGGAAGTCAGGACAACATATCTGGAAAGAGTGCACTGTGAAACAATGACTTGCAAGAATCCTAAACATATTCATTAAGGTTTTGAGGTTGTAGTTTTTCATGGTCCAACACACACCCTGCTTCTGATTTGATGCTACCCGGAAGTGGAATATAAACACCTTACTTTGCACCAGAGGCTTTGAAGATGTCCGCCCACTCCTCCGGGTTGAAAAACTGCGCGTGGAACTGAGGGGCGAAATCCGGGTAGCTGAAGCCGGGCGGGTAGTTCTTGGACATGTAGCTCACACACTTCGGGTCAGGCGGCTGCTGACCCTGCCAGTGCCACCAGAACCACTCGCTGCCGAAGCCTGGCACTGAAAATACTCCCCAGTGGACAAAAATCCCCACCTTTGCTTCGTCGTACCATGAAGGCAGCGGTCTGGCGTCCAGACTCGTCCAGTTCGCGGTGTAACGAGCCGCTGCGGGAGACGCGAAGGCGAGGAGGAGGAAAACGGCAGCCATGACTGCTACAAGTTAGCCTAAAATAAGATTACATGGAACTCATTTAAAGTCCCTGCATCTACCTAGTGAGCCTCTTGTTGCCGTTTGAGTTGTTTCCTCGTCACATGACTGGGATCACGTGGAGCACCACACGATTGACTCGTTTTACAGAACTGCAAGGTGTAACAGTTAATTTGACCTCCTAGTAAAGGACTTAAAAATATATCTATAGTCTTTGACTCGAATAAAAAGATTTCAGAAACAAAATGCATTTGTAATGCAAACAATGTAACTTTAACTTGCATTTATATTTCTCCGTTTTTTTTATTTATCGGCTTATTTTGTTTTCCATTGATCAAACCACTCATTATTGGTCTACTGCAATATTTATGATTTTAAAGCACATTTTCTATTTTAATCGGCTTGTCTCCATGCTTAAGACACCTGTATTTACCTTATAAATGCTACTTTTTAGCCACTAGATGGCACCACATCTATGAGTACCTCCGCTTTCACGAGCCTTGTAAACTTAAACTAAGAATGCAAAGTCGACATACAAAATACAGATGGACAAATGCTCATTGATCACTGTTAACATTTTTATAGTACAGTACACATGGAAGTCCGCTATGCTCTAGCTTATACAGGTAATTTATTTGGTCACTTCTTTACACACTTGGCTGCCATTAATGTAAACAATTTAAGTTAGTCATTTATAAGTCGCATTTCAAGTACACATAAAAAGTTGTTGGAGACAATTATTTATTTGAATTCATGATTGACGTCTTAATCCCAATCTTGCTGGATGAGTACAGAATGTTCATTTCTCCGTACAACATTGAAATGTAAATTTCTTTACATCCACGTACAATGCAAACAAAAAGCATTCATATGCTGTATTTTAAACAAGATTTGTGAAATTTTCATTTCCTAACAAGCTCCAGACAAATCTCCATAATGACAAGGCAGAAACTTCTCTTTAGAACTGTTTTTTTTTTTTTCCCTACTGGCAATATTGCCGTAACCTTGTTGATCCATTGCTTCATAAATATTTACATCAAGGCTTAATATTTTATTGAATGACAACCTTATCTCCTTTTTGAAGCTAGTGATGCTCACAGATTTGTGATTTGACACAATCCAATCTGAGGTCTACAGCCAAGTAGTTTGACTTCTTTGCTTGGTTTCTGCTTTGATGCACACCGTTCTACTGCAGCTCCTTAAAGTCACAGGCGCACGCTCCATCTCCATTTAAAATCATGTTTAATTACTCAAGTTCCAGAAGGTTCTGAAAAAGTGAAAGGCTGTGAATACTTTTTGTTGGCACTGTACACGTTTGAAATTTAAAGTTACATCTAGACGTGATTTCACAAATGCCAGACAGGTTTCCTGCTACTAACTAATCACTGACACACAATGACAGGCAGCTTTGGACCGGAAATTCAGGACACAAATGAGTGAATAAATAAATAACCTTACAGTAATAAGTGCACAGAGGCCCTGTTTTATTTCTAGTTGATGGTAAAATTCACAGTGTATGGCTGACATCAGAGCATTCAGCAAGCTGTCTTTCCAGCATCTGTTTCTCCACTAAGTCCTCCACTCTGCCAACCTCCACCTCGTCCACATCGTCCATAAAGCTTGACCAGTCTGTGGTCCCATCTGCACGCACCATGGGCTCTGGCTGGCTGGACGGGTCAGCGGGCACAGAATCTTCATGAGTGGTGGTCACGCAGTTGCAGCTGTCGCAGATGCCAAAGCGCCTCAATCCCGGGGAGACGTTGGACCCTGTGAACGTTCGCCTGCAGCTCTTGCAAGATACTGGCCAGTAGTGCCTGTGAACCTATGGACAGACACATAGTGGGTATTGTTTTGACTTGGATTAGAGTTTGGAAGGAACAGAACACTGAAGATCGTTCTAGGACAAGTCGTACTAACAAAATGGGATACATAAAAAAACATGATGGCCACACTTCACTCTTACACTAAGGGCGTGGGTCCGGAGATGCTCCTGTCGTGTGAACCTCTTGCCACACATGGGACAGGGGAAGGGCCTCTCTCCGGTGTGGCAGCGGATGTGTCTCTTCATGATTCCTTTCTGTTTGGCAGTGTATGGACAGAAAGGGCACTTGTGGAGTTTTACTGGCACTACCAAGCCATCGCCTGCAGGGGGAGAAAGACAACAACTGAAATGCATACAATTCCTCTGCTTTCGGATTTACTGTATTTTACTTGGTCTAAGGTTATTCTAGCACATTCATTGACAGTTAAAACTGACTGAGGTAATTACCTGTGTCCTCTCCGAGCCAATCAGACTGGATCTCCATTATAGATGACCCAACAAAGCCCAAACTTTCATCCATTCTGCTACTTCCTGTGCTGCTGCCAAGTCCTTGGTTGAAGCGCTGACCTCCTCGGTCCCCTACAGGGCTGGGGCCTCGGGGGCCTTCACCTCTGGACAGAATCTCCATCAGCTGCCGGGTGTTAAATGAAGGGCCGTATCCTAAAGGGGAGCGCTCATTGGAGGCTGAGGGACTTTGAAGAAGTAACCTGCTATGGTGTGTGCCATGCAGAGAGGACCCAGGATATGGTGCAAGGTCTTTGGTGTCGGGGGACTCTACGAGTTCCTCATCAGGGTCATACTCTATTTTAGGGTTCACCAACTCTGGGGTCAAAGCAGAAGATGAGGAGGATGAGAGATTAGTCTGATCCATGTGGCCCTTTTGGTCTTCCCTCCCAGGTGGAAACTCCTCCCTAGAGGAGTAAGCGCTGTCAATGTTTCTACTGGAGCCCGTTGGGGTTGCAACTGCGGTAGACAGGGGGATACTTGCTGAAGTTCCTTCCTCAGGACCTAAACCCGACCCCCCATCTACTTCTGCAGCCTCTGAACTTGTCCCTGTAATACCCCTGTCCCCAGCGACGGTTGCAGAAGGAGTTCCACTGTCCGCGGGTCTAATTGTTTCATTGTCCTTCTGGTTCTCTTTCTTCGTGTTTCTCTCCTTATCCTTGTTGCAAATCTCCAAAGATGAGTGGATGTACTCTTTACAGAAGTTCACCAGCTCTGTCATTTGCAGATAGCTAGCCGCTGACATCACCTCAATTACGTTGTTGCTGTTAAGAGCCAAGCGGCCAGAATAGAGGAAGTCGAGGATGACAGAGAAGGCGTCGGCTGTAACGATGTCCAGCGACGCTGTGCTGTAGCGCTGTCCGCTGTCCTGAAAAGCATTCCCAAGTTTAAAATTAGAAATCTGAAAACACTACAACAGAACATGGCTTTGAACTGTTCTAAAAATCAGCTCAAGTTAATGGTTTTGTGTAACAGCTTGAACCTTCAGTGTACTATCATAGACCAACTTACCAATTACATTTAATTGATGTATAACATGTACTTAACACGTAGATAAATTCATCCACAATGAACTAAATATGCCAAAATTGTATTTAGGCATATTATTTATTTTTTAATCAGAATTTATTTTGATTTTAAAATGATATAGAAGTATGTCTGCAGAAAATTGTATGATTTGTTTTCTAGCTTTCAATCCAGTTTCAGAGCTCACCACAGTACTAAGACCGCCCCTGTCAAAGTGTTCAAAGAGATCCACATGAATACAGACTGTGGAAGAACCACAGTGCCAGTACTTTTGGATCTTAGTGCAACATTCAACACTGTTAACACTGACAATGATATTCTGATTATTATTTTAGGGTAGGACTCTCTGGACACTACTTAACTGGTTTGAGTCTTGCTTTGAGACTCAAACCAGAACAGGAACAGAAATAACTTTGTGTCAATAAGTAACTTCTTGTCAGAGCGGACAAGAAGTTACTTTGTCCGCTCTGACAGAGAGCGGACAAAGTAACTTTAACCTAGGGATACCTAACTTTAATTTAACCTAGGGATACCTAGGGATACCTAGGGATTTAACCTAGGTATTCCTAGGTTAAATTTTGGGGCCTCTTTAATAGCTACGTACTCGTGCTAGCTCAGATTATAACAAGTATTAAGATTATTTCCCATAACAACACAGATACTGATACAAAGCTCTACATTATGATGTCACCAAGTGTCTCCGAACCCATCCAAGCACTGAAGTGATGCTTAGAACAAATGTGTGGATGAGCCATAAATCTCTCCAGCTGAACGGAAACAAAACTGAAGTCATCTTTGGACCCAAAGGGTCAGCACAAAGCTTCAGTTATTACAGCTAAAATATACCAGTCAAGTCTGAAATCTTGGTGTTATGCACTAAGACCATAAGTTTCAGATACACCTAAAGACAGTTACAAAGTCGGCCTTCCATCACCTGAAGAACATTTCCAGGATCAAAGGAGTAATGTCTCAGCAAGAGCTAGAGAAACTCATCCATGAGTCATTTCTTGTCACATTGATAACTGCAACAGTATCTTTAAAAGTCTGAGTAAAAAGTCAGTCAGATAGATGCTGCTTGCATTCTCAGTAAAAACATGAAAATGGAGCAAACCACCCCAGTTGCAAAGTCCTTACACTGGCTCTCTCTAACTCAGAGAAAAGACTTTAAAACACCTAAAACCTGATTTCATAAATCACTGAATGGGTTAGCACCAAAATACATACAAGATCTGTTATTGTTGCGTCAACCTTCCAGATCACTCAGGTCTTTGGGTTAAAATCTACTCTGCATCAGAATCAGAATCAAACATGAAGAAACAGCATTCAGTTTTATGCTAGTCTCATCTGGGAAGAAAAAAATTCTAGAAAATTTCAAAAATGCTGAAACACTGACTTCTTTAAAACCGAAAACTGACCTGCTTACAGCTGCCTTGATAAATAATAACTGGAACATTGACAGATTTGTAATCTTCTTTCAAATATTTCATGAATTCTGAAGATGACATTTTAACATTTACTCAAAAACGCTGTATACACATTCTTAGCACTAATAGAAAACAGACAGAAGCAGTGTAATCCTCACCTGCAGGTAGTGAACCAGAAGAGCCCGGAAATAGCCGCTTCCAGCAAATAGCACGTTACGGTGGGCTTTGAATACACGCCCCTCTACCAGGATACTGCAGTCGCAGAAGAAGTCTCGCTTTCGCTGCTCATTGAGCTCAAACAGCAATTTGGGCAGATAACAGGGAACCTCCATGTTTTTCCTTCTCCGTGATTCT